CTATTGTTACTACTGAATTGAGCCATGTCTCTATCACATTCATTCACACACTACTACAAGAGTGGAAATTATTTTATGCCCCTTTTACTTGATATGAGGCATGCAAAAGCTAAGTGAGCTACCCAAGGCCACAGAGGAAGTCTCTTTCACTTTCTCCTCCCTGTATCTTACAATACCTGAAATGCAGCTCTGCTGATTTCTACTGGAGACTGCAGCATCCCTTCTACTCCTCCTACTCTCTATCACTGGGACCATCAGCTCTTTGGGGGGATTGAAACTCAGCTCAAAACTTGGCTCAGTACAAGGACATGTGGGTGTTATCTGCCTGTAATCTCTGAGTCAGATACATGAGCTAATCATGTCTTTTGCCCTTGCACTTTTTGAAACTATGAGCTCAAGATGCTAACAGGCTGGAAGAATCACAGAATCACAGAAGCATCACATCCCAACTGCCCAGTCCTGGTCTTTAATTGCTGACAATTTAAAGCAATAGTGGTTAAAAACATGTATATATATGTACAGAAAAACAATACTTTAACTACTACATGAGACACATTTGCCTTTGTGTCCCTCCACAAATGATCTTGGTTGCAATATCTCTCTTTTACATTTATGAACAATCTTATGCGATGACTGACAACAGAGGTAACTGACATATAATGTGAGTTTTCCCAATGTTATCCATTCCAAGACGTGCAGCTGAGTAAAATTTCACTCAGTCAGTCATAAAATCAAATTAGAAGAGTTCACTCCGAAGAGCAAGAACTAAATTTGAAACAAATAAAGCAATACATAATTCACTTTTACTGGGATAAGTTCCTAAAACCACACTAATCATAATCCTAACAAGGCAGTATGCTACACTGTGAGTTTACCACATCACTGCTGAGTATGCAGTAGAGCTTCAGTCACATGAGGGATTTGCCCCACATACAAAGTGAGCAAGTTTGTTTTTTTCCAGTCAGGATTTGCTCAGCAGAGCACTTCTGTTTATTAATAATTATACCTTGTGGCCATACAACACATTTTGTTCGTACCACGTGTTCACAAAGACCTTCATCCATCACTGAAATCACCTGGTTAACACAATGTATTTCTCCACAAAGCCCTGCAATATTATTAAACAGTTTAGAAAAGAACCAAAAAATCCTGTATCTGTTAACTGCACAATTCAGATGGAAGGTAATGGCTCAGACATGGAAGTTGGCTAACCCTGAAGTAACATTTTCTGTGTTTGGCAAAAATGCCATTGGATTTTTATTGACCATAAGCATTCAAGACCTTGGGTTTGGATCTGATTTTAAGACAGCATTTTTCATCAGCACAGCAGCTCACACCTGTGAGAAAGCCCGAGTTAAACGAGAAAGTATGACTGCCTGTTTGCAGCTACTCTTCAAAGTCTCATGGTGTCCACACTTACTTGGTTTATGAGAGTTGATAGTTTATAACCAAAGATGCTGTGGCTACAGGGCACAGATAAATCAGAAAAAAAGAGAAGAGTTTAATTATTTCTATAACAGGGGACATCTTTGTATACCTTTAATAATGTGTTCAGTGTTGAAAAGTCATTCTAAAAAAACCCCACAACACTCATTTGTGTTGCATATTCAATACCTTTCAACAAATGTCTGATACAAAAAGTGTGCCCTGATGACAGGTTAAGAGAGATTTTTTTTGTACAGGATTTTAGAGTCAAGCTGAGTTCTTCCTGTACTGTCAGGAATCAAAATTTTCTGACTGAAATGTAGCAAATCATTCTTTTAATCACAGAGCATGGATTGTATCATGGTTTTACAGCTGCAGCATTTCCAAAGAACTAACAGGTAAGAAATAGTGAAGAAGCTATTATAAAGGATATGATCAAATACACACCAGGAGCAGGTAACGTAAGCAGATGCTTTTCTACGTGAATCTGTATACTGTGATCCTTACTTAGCAAAAAAATTCCATTCATATTTCCAGTTCAGCCTGAAACACTGTTCTCTGCATAAACCAGCTTTTATTTAAAAGAGTATTTACCAAAAAAAAACCCCACCAAACAGAAGACAGAACTACAGTGCATACAATACAAACGGGTTTATCTTTTCCTTATAACCTTTATCTTTTCCTTATATCTTTTCCTTACATTATGGCTCTGCATGAGGATGCAGGAAAGTGAATACCCTACAAATCAAACTGCAGGTTGCTGACACTGGGCTCAACCATTTCCAGATGTAGGTTATTTCTAAATTCCAGAGGTGTTTTTAATACTCAGTATTCAACCCATGCAGGTTTTTTTTTTTGCATCTGTTTTGTTGCTACACTTCGATATGAGGGAATTTAAGTTATAATAATATACACACAGAGAAATCATAGACACAGATGCTCACAAGCTTCACCCTCAGCAAATATCCCATTTGCCAGCACGATGGCCACACACATAAAAGCAGTTATGCATGGCAAGCAAGAGATTAAGATAGTTTTAAAGCAGATACAGCAATGACTATGCCCTTGTCATAGGGCAAAATGCAGATGAAAAAAATTGGGAGTGAGGAGGTGGGACTTATGCAGGCAAAATACAACATAGGGAAAGCAGTTGTCTTCTGACCCAATGAGTTTTTATCCCTCAGCTCCTGCAGTCTCTGACTCTGAATTCAGGAGCTGTTACAAAAACTAGGCACAGGCCAAGTCATCAGCAATTCCCCCACTCCTGCAAATGAGCAGAGACTAAACTGAGCTGACTTCTCAGAGAGACCTATTAAAAAAAAAAAAAAAGTTGCACACCTTTAAGCATGAGGGGATTTACAGTATTACCAAAAAAAAAAAAAGGGGGGAATGATCAGACCGTATAGGGGAGCAGTGCCTTACACATTGGCTGTTATATTTGCCAGAGAGCAAACTCAAGAAGCAACATGAATTATATTGAGAGAACAAAAATCAAAAATACCAGAAGTGGAAACTAAATTGCTGCTGCTTCTTTTAATTCTAAATTTCAGTCAGGATCAAACACTACACTCTCTACTGAATAATACACTGCCAGAACGGGGTCTGGTGAAGCAACCATCCTGGTGTGTACAGCTCAGCGCCCTCCAGAAAGTTACCTTCACTGCTCTCTGTTCATTTCCTTCTGCTGGAGGTGTTCTTTGGGCTCAGTTTTCCACCAGAGGAGTTTGGAACATGATAGCATCAGTTTCGTAAGTTATTAGAGAGTATTTTGCTTTAGTGAGAATATCACTTTACAAAACAGATATCATCATTCCAAGGAAAACCAGCTCAAGAATAATAAAATTACTCATACGAGGTTACCCAGACACTTAGCAGAAGGAGCACAGCTAGCACGCTTAATTTGCAATCCCTGTGCCAATGACCTGCCCCACAGGACATATAGACAGCCCTTCAAGGAAACGAGCTGAGGGATGTCTTTCATCTCTGGTTCATAGCCCTGCTATGAACGGGCTCCATTTCAGTCATTGTGGAGGACTCAGAAATACTGTGGCAAACCAGAAAAGAGCTTAGAAATGTTGATGGTAAAGCCCTGAACAGACTGGTTCAGACTGGAGCATGGTATTTTTGGCCTTTTCTTTACCATCAGTCTCTCTGAGGGAGACCTTCATTTCAGCATTGTTGCACAGGAAAAGCGTGCCTGAATTAAGGAAACAAAGGATCTCATCAATAATTCTAGATATAATAATTAAATTTCATATAGCCAAACTCTGATTTAAATATAGGAAAGTAATAAAAAAACCCCTATAGAGTTGACATAGAAGCACTGCTGCATAGACAGAAAGATTGTGCCAATAGCTACTACAGTAATGTAGGCTCAAATATCTATTATTTCAAAGATTTTCTGGGGCAGGCAACTTAATACCTCTATATCTCACTTCTTCACTTCTAAGTAGGGATAATAGCTAAACAGGAGCACTAAGGATAAGACAAGATATGTAATAAACTGTGTAAAAATCTAAGAGAACTGAGTTTGTGCACGGGTAAAGCACAGTCAATTTGAAGCTGTTTTTGTTACATTTTGTTTAATCTAACAAACTACTTCACTGACAGCATTTTAGTGCTATGCAACAAAGACTACTTTTTTCTATGCAAAGACATAATACACCATACATTACCTTCAGATGAAACGGCACATCTATTTTTTTCTAAGAAAGAGACAAACCCTGCCTTGACATCTCCTGAGCTGCTTCTCAAGACTGAAGGAGACAAAGGTCACATTCTACTCTCCACTGAGTGATACCTAACATAGGCATCAAGACTAATAGGGTATTTCAGACCATGATATCAAAATCATACCTAAAGCAGGCAAACTGTGGCTATCCCTACAGTCACGAGAGAGGAGGAGACAAATTTCACAGTTTTATACCTATGGTTGAAGCTCAAAGACAGTCTTTTTTTCTTATATTTCATAGCAGTGTTTGCACTACAGGAATATAGTCTGTCCTTGATTCTATGCCATACTCTTACTGGTATCACTAGAGTCAAAGAACATCCAATATAGACTAAAAAAAAAAGATAAAACTATCATAAAAATTAGTTTTTGACAAACTTTAGCGCAAAGACTTTGAAGTCAAACGTGGTCCAGACAGAAAAATATCTAAGTCACACAAATGTTACAGAATTCCTTCTGCAGAAGAAAAGCTAAACAGAAGTTGAATCAAACAAGGTTCTTCCTTCATGTCCTGGTCATAATAGGCAGTTAAAAGGACATAAAAACCTTTCCAAATGTCTAACACTGACGTGAAGACTAATCTATGACATGAATAAACTAAACCAAATCTTTAATTTTATTTTCCAGAGTTGTCCAGTTATCAGTAAGCAGAATCAACTAAACAGATGCTAGTTGTTCTTTTTCAGTGAGATAGTGCTGCCATCTAAAGCTATCTAAGGGGCATGCAAAAGAAATATCAAGTCATGCATCTAAATAACATTCAAGAAGCACATCTGAGTAGATAGAGGATGCAGTGTAAGTCAAATATGTTAACAAGATACAACAAAAAGTGATGCTACAGTACCTGAAGGAGCAATTCTTTCTCTATCACTTCACCCGTCTTGACAATAAGCTGCTTCTGTAGTCTCTGCGTTTTCTGAATCAGCTCATAGGTACTTGGGTCAGTGGCCTAGACAAGATCAAAGCAGTCTCAAAAATTATACATTATAACAAGGTAGCATTTCTTGCTTGCAAATGAATACTATAATATCTATGTGTTCAAAAGTTTCAAATATAGAATGGTGGGTGAGGCTTGGGGTATTTTTAAATGATTTGTATACAAGCAGTCTTGAAACTGGAATCTCTGCCTCTTGAAGAGCAATTGGAGCATGCTCATGTTTAACACTATTACCCTCATGAATCCTCCTCAAAACAACTAGTATTAATAGGAGTCCTTCAGAGCTTAACCCCCAAACCAACAAAGTTTGATAGGATCACATGGCAGGAAAAGGAGGTTAGTATATCATTTTTAGCAGAAACTGAAAATGCCCACTGACAAATTAAGCACAGTGCAAGTACTTTCCATTATTTTAAGAACTTAAAATAGTGCCATCTTGAATTTTAAGGAAAGGAAGATTTTTGTCTTGAACAAAAGGAAAAGTAACGGCAATCTAATCTTGAAATTGGTTGAGAAATTATGAGGAAACAAATTATGAGGGTACACTGATGAATTATTATAAGGCTTCAAAGTTTCCGTCCATGTGGAATCTCAGTCTTCAATGGAGTTAAGTGCTTAAAAAAGTGAGTGTAGGCTCTGCGCTGCTTCCCTCTATCTACGTAGCCTGAAAAGACCAAGAGCTAGTAGATGTCTCCCCTTCTTCCCTCTTCATTCTTTTGTCACAGATTGCATCTGGAGGAAGTTCTATGGAGTAAACAAGTAATCCTGTGAGGAGCAGCCAGCAAAGATTACTTTTCAACTACTTGAAATCTTCCCGTTGGATCCTTTAATGAAGGTAAAACTCTGGCTGAAGTTTTTTTCCCCACTTGGGAGTTCACAACACCTCTCTCCCACATGGTTTCTCCTCTCTCACGTGGTGTCTCACAAGGATTAAACTCACACTGCCGTAAAGGCTCCAATAAAGTCCTGCTCTCTATATACTTGCTTGGGTTTATAAGGATCTTGGTATCTTGTGTCTCCTAATCATTTGTCTGATTTTATCTAAATTGACTAACCAATTCAAATGTAACTGGGACACTAACACAGATACGCATGCAGCTCTCACAACACCATTTCCTGAGAAATCAGGCTAAAAAGTAGTTCAGTCCTTGATTTTTTATAGTGCTGAACAAAGTTGGTGCCAATTTGTGACAACTGTAGTGATATGAGGGTGTTTGCTCATTAGGAATTGAACCAAAACCCCATCAAGATTATTTCATATGGTTCTTGCCATCTGCTGGCCTTTCCATGTTCCAAATAGAAACCAGTGACCTAGAATGGAAAGACATAATTTCCCATTATCAGTCTCTTCATACATTTATTTTCCCTGGACCGGATGTTTTGACCAGCTTCATCTTCCTGATTTGCCTTTGTTACAAGGTGCTGCTGGAGATTGTACCTAAATGTCTTTAGCCTAGTTCAGCATCCTGCATTTTATCTCCCTTCCATGCAAAAAGCTAAGCACACCATTCAGCTTAAAGCTCAGCATGGAAAGATCAGAAATTAACTATTATGCTAGTAAGCACAGCCAAAACATTTAGCTTTGTTTCTGCAGGGTCTAGGACACTACCACTCATTACTGGAGCAGCTAAGCAATCCAAGCTGGCATCAGATCAGAGATCCACGTAACAGAGAAATCTCAGCTGGCTCTGACTTACTTCAAAAACATCCAGTGATGCCAATCGATGTTCATATACTTGGTCTGTGCTTGACAGATTTTTTTATTCTTCGCCCTCATTTGGCAGGTTCAAATAATGTGAAAATTTAGATTTACTGTTTAAGTAGCAGTTGAACTCACATTACCTGGAATGGCTATCTTTGGGAGCCCACCACTGTTTATGTGAAGGCCTCTTCCTTTTCTCACAGATGGAACTTACTTTCTGACTTCATGTTGTCCATTCCCCAGTCTACCTGTTCTAGGACCCTTTCTAATTCCAGCTTTCTTCCCACATACAGCTCCCTAATTGCTGAAGGTAGGATTGTATCTTTATTCCATCATCCCCTTTATCATCCATGTTAAGGAATCACCCCCTTGTAAATTCACTCTTACTCCCTTTAGCACTTGACTGACTCTTCACAAATCCCCCTGCAATTTTTCATTGAGAAAGCAACACAAAAATAACACTGATTGCATTGTGCAAGGAAACCATTCAGCAGTTAACCATCCAACTGGTACTATGGAAATTTCAGTCTGTCCGCCCCTCCACATAATTTGCATAACAGTAAATGAAACAGGCTTTGTGCTGTGTCACTGATTTGGTAATATAGGCTGTGGGAACTTGAAATGCTGACACATCACCTCTAATTTTCTCCATCTGTGAACATTCAAGGGAGTCTCCAGCTCTTCTTCCAAAACTTTGCACCGAGTCTGTTCCTTTAATAGTTCCTTCCGCATGTGATGAACCTCCTGTCTTAAGACCAGCATAAAACAAAAAGAAAAAACCCCACACTTAAACCATATCAGTGTGACCACAGCACTAGTTTGAACATTAACAAATCAGTCTCCCATGCACTACAGCCCTGGCAAAGTGACTCTTGTGATTAATAGTCAACACTCATGCCACTGAACAGGTGGAACCATAAGATAATAGATCTCTTCACTCCTTTTAGTAAGAATGGCTCAAAAACGGGACTTTCATCAGTTCTTGGGCCTACAGGATGTCACTGCCCACATCTTCCCACATACATTAAGGTCAGAAGGACAGTTCATTCACCTAGAGTAATTTACAACTCCATTATGGAGTCATACCCACTTCCCTCTGCACTGAATCTAACAGCTTGTGTTTGAAAGAAGTTTTTAAATCTACATGGCTCACACAATGTGGTACATGAAACACACTCTAAGACCTAAGTGTGATGAACACTGGTCTTCAGAGAACCCAAGTTTGATGTCTTTTACTCGTATTACCTCTCCTCAAGGAATGTCAGAGCTGATTTGTTGCTGAATTTAAAATTAATTGAGCACTCCTAAGATGCTTTGACAATGCAGTGGGGATAGGGAGTCAAAAAAAAAGGCACATTTTGCAATGGTCTGACCCTTAATTACTTTAGTATGCGGATCCTGTAAGCTCTCCAAGAGGACCGAGGTAGAGGATCACCATGGACCTACTCCACCACTGAATCTTTTCCTGCTAAGATCAAAGTTGCATTTAGCCCACTGGAGAGAAAAAGGCCTTTTTTAATCTCTGAGGTTGGATAAGGTTATGGAAGAGGAAAAAAAAACCACATCTCCAATTGGCAAATGAAGAAAGCTAATTAGCAGCACAAGTGATAAATGGAGTCTTTCGACAGGCAGTTTTCGTGATGGTTTTGGACTTCATTAAAGTATGTGATTGCTGCTGCAGTTAGCAAGAATTGATCCACCCATCATGGCATGCATCACACTATACTTCAATACCGTCACCGAGTTTCAATACAGTAACAGACTTTCAGCTGAATGCATTTGGGCAGCAAATTCAAATCCTATTCCTGTCTGCAGTCAGTCAACGAAAACTGCAGTTGCTAATGTTCTGCACCCAGTTCTGTTTTTCTGTTACACCAAATCAAACTGGCATAATTCCACTGGAGTCAACGGCACTGACCACAGAATGAAGCTAATTTGATACAGCGAAAAGCCATGGAATTATACTGATACAGTTAAGCTAAAGATCTCACCCAAAACTGTGGTAGCTACACAAAATTAATAAGACAGTTATCTGCTAGAAGCATAGCTGCCTCTCCTGACAAACCAAGACTGATTCTGTAAAAAAATGAAAATAGTTTCCCATCAGCAAAGAACACACCTCAAATACAGGACAGTTAAAAAAAGAAGGGAAGCATTAAGCCAGAGAAAGAGGAGATAAATCAGGCTGGGGCTATTAAACCTCTCTTTTAAAGAAACACAACCTTCAATGAAAATTTAACTAAATCTTTCTCAGATAGAAAGTCTGCATATAAATCTGGAAGAAGAAAGCTCTGAAAATGTACAGAGGTCTGTTATAAATATATCAAGTGTTGCCCATCCTCTGCGGATTGCCTAATAAAAAGCAGTTCCACTAATTTGGGCCTTGGGTACCACTAAGTAGCTCACTGAACTATGAACACCTTTTCTGCTGCTGTCTGTCAAGTTTATTCTGTAGGCAGTAACTCACAGTACAAGGGGAAATATGGAACCTATTTCAACCTTGGCCAAGATGTCTTTTTTACTCCTTTCCTCCTTCTTATATTTTTATTTTCTTAATTGCTGGCAAGCTGTTTTGTGAATTTAATCCAGTTCGTGTTTGAAGTCAAACCAAATAACCCCCTTCTCCAAGGCATAGTGTTTGTTGATACAAGTCTTTACAATGCATAAAACATGTTTTCTGTCTCAAATACAGAATCATGGATACAGCCACTATGGAAATGCATTCAATCAGTTTTTCTACCTCAGTTCCTCCACATCAGCCACACTTTTTTCAAGGATTCCCTTCTCACACCGAAGTTTTTTGATCTCCAGCTTGAGAAGTCGGATGTCTTCCATCCTCTGTCGGTATTGGGTTTCGCCCTTGTTTAAGAGGGACTGCAGGATTTTTATCTTTTCATAGAGCAGAGCCACTTCATCATTGCGCCGAATGAGCTGGGACCCTAGGATAGCTCTTTCATTGGTAACCTAAGGACAAAGCAATAATTGTAGTTACTGGTCCCAAACTGTACTGGATATATTTGCATCAATCAAAATCATGTGCATTAAGATGTTTCACTGTTATTAGTGAAAGAAATATGGTAAGGACCTAATATTTTCCCCTATAATGGTTCAGCCAACTGAATAGCACAAACTACGCATTCCATTCACTTTTGTTTCAATGGCACTATAAAGCTTTAGTAGTCCCATATTTACAGTGACTGAGGATCTCGATTTTGAAAACACACTGGAAAAATGAGGGAACAGAATGTAGTACATTTGAAAAGCCAAATTAGAGATTGTTACCTGGTCTAATTCCTTCTTCTGCTTAAGCCTTTCAGCATCAGCTTCCATAATAATTTTTAGGAGTTTTCTCTCTTCTGCCTCCTGATTTTCTATAAAGTGTTTGGTTTCCAGAGCCTGTTTTTTCATCTTAAGCACTTCAGCCTGATTGAGTCAGAGTATATAGGTAAACTGCACTTAGTAACAGCTTTCTTACATACATATATAACACATTACATAAACCTGGGATTAAGAGTCAGGAGTTTATGAAATCTCACACTTTTTTTTTTTTACTTTCCTGAGAGGTACACATTTTGGTAGTTTTTGAGACAAACCACCTGTGTTCTATTAGACACAATAGAAATTTGAATGGATTTTTATCTACGACAATGGTTTTAATTCAGGGTCACTTCGTTTAATAAAAATTATACAAAAAAAATAATAGGCCAAATTTGGAAACCTTTTCAAAGGAGCTGTTATTCAAAGTTCAAAATCATCCTGGGATGTGAGAAAGGATAGTTCATCTTGCTGGGATGGGTAATAATATATGCTGTGCAGTCCAAATCAGCATCAGACTGGAATAACAATTGGTGGATAAGTTGGCAATCATGCATGGAACAACAAAACTAGAGAGCTTTAGCACGTTTTAAATGGATGTGTAGATGAGGAAGACTGGGGAAAGAGGAGCTGTCCCTAAGCATAGGAGAAGGCATGCTCTGTTACAATGACTGCACACCACCAATGTAAACTAACAGTGGAATACACCCAATAATTCTATTCCACTGTTATGAACTCTATCCTTCAAGACATTTATGTAGATAAAAGACTAATAAGGTCTTCTTGGATTATTAGAAATTTCTATCATTGCTAAGCAATTAGTTAGAGCTCAGATGGAACTAGCTGACTACGGTCCTTTTTCACAGATATGAAAACTTCCAAGCCTTGACTCAAAGCCTTTGCCACAGCTCTGACCCTTATAAAGGATGATGTTCAAGCTGCCTTTTGGGAAAGAGCATCATCCAATGGTGAAAGAATGAGGCTGTGATGAAGGCTGCACCTGCAAAAACATTGATTTAAAACAGGAACAGCTCCATCATCATAATAAAATAGCTTGTTCTGTTCTTATTTCCTTTAATAAAATTCTCATTTTCCCATATGTGCAACACTCATATCTCTCTTACTCACTGTTAGATGTTCATTAGAATCCATCAGCTGAATAAAAACGCAAGCCATTTCACACTGAAATGCAATCAACACTGTGCAAAAGCTGTCTACAAATGTAAAACTGCTCACACGTTTGTCATTGCTGGATAATATTTTTTTAATATATCAAAATTCTATGTTCTCCTTATGTCAGAAAAATATGAGTTGTAAACAAGAAATGGCATTAGATGTTGGCAGCAAACATTCGTATAAACAAATCTCCTCACTAGTATGCACTAAGTTAAAATAAATATGAACTGCTTTGTACCACAAAAAACATAAATACTTTAAGTCACACAAAGGCCCCACAAGCTAACAGGACTTTCAGTTAGACTAAATATGCTAAAAACTACAGTATGAGGGTCTTTGTACATATAGGTAAGAGAAAAAGAAATTAATAAACACAGTCACTCTGCAAGTAGAAAAATGGTCATGTCTGAAACTTCTGCAAATCAGCACAGCTCATTTCTAGCTGGTTCAGAGAGTTTGTCGGAATTGAAGAAAGGAATTTACATGGGACCTATGCCAATACCTCAAACCAATTTTTTTTCTAGGTTGTGAAATATTAGCATAAATGAAGAGGTATTTTTATTTGTTCAAGAGGTGGGAGAAAAACATGAATTGTATAAAACGGTATAACTGGGGCTAGACACAGAATGCTGAAATAACACAACTCAGAGGTTTTACATCCAGATTGCTAGAAAATAATAAATAAATAAATAAATAAATGGACAAGCATGAACAAAATACACAAAAGCACCTGACAGCAGCTCAAAGCTGGTGGGTCATACTTCTTACACCTTTCACATATATAGTTTTCAGGATTCGAATGCTTTGTCAAGCCAGTCAGATCTGCGAGCCTGCATGAAGACCAACTGAAACCAAAAGATGTCATTATACTGGCTTTAATGGAGCTTGGATCAGGCATCCTCTGTTTCATTTACCATGATTCCACATTTTCAAGACCTTTATGCCAGTTAAGGCAAGAATAAATCCAAGGTCTGTATAATTTCACTCCTATGAATCCCAGTCCTCCATGATTTAGCACATTCCTTAAACTGATTGCCCAGGAACAGCTTGCTTCCTTCCTTCAGATCAGCACAAACAGGACAAATCAAAGCTGGCTTGCTACACAAATAACTGGGTTCCTTTGTGCCTCTGTCAGTCATCTCCTTCTTTGAATTCTCTTCTGCTTCAGTATTCAGCAGAGACGCTCAGGTAGAAGACCACAATGCCCTGAAGCTAGCCAGTAATGTGATGTCAGTGTGTGGACATATTGCTAGTGAATAATTGAGTTGGTAAACCATGTGCCAATCACATGTTTGTCAAATGGATGGCAGATATTTCTGAGGTGATGAAACAGAACAGGGACTAATTAAGGCAGAAAGCTGCACACAGGAAAATGAGGTGCTGTTTGACTTCTCCATCACTGATACAACAACTCTGAGGCAGATCAGGTATAAGAACATAAATTCACCATCTCTTTACAAAGCTCTACTGACATCTTGTCATAACTATAATGTTCTTAGAGGGGCTGAAAACTTAAGGAGTCATTGCAGCATAGCAATAAATTGACAAAAGAAAACATTGCACAAAGTAGCAGGGGACTTTTTTGGGGTGGGGAGGGGTGGGGGACTGCTTGCTTTCTGGTTTGTTTGTTTTTTCTAGTGCTTATTGAAGAGAAAAAAATAAGCTGTTGTGGACACTAACTCAAATCTTTTGAGAGCACAGCAAATTGGGTTGAGATATCACCACAAATCTAATAGCTTATCTAAGGGGCTGCAAGCAGTGCTGAGAAGAACCAGAGCTTCATGCTTATATTTCCTTTGATTTAAAACTGATTCTTGCTGCTTTATACCCCAATATTAAAATAACTTTCTGTGCAGAGGGACCTACTAAAAGGCACTGCCTAACTCCCAGAAGACTAATGCTTCCTAGTAACACAGAAATACAAGATTGTGGAATGTAATATAATAGGCTTTGCACTTAAAAACAGCAGAGAGAAAAAAAGTTTTTAAAAATAAAAATTTGAATTATAAGAGTCTATATTAAAAAAGTTTGCTAGTATCAGGCTGTCCCCAAACTTCACATTTCTGCAAGCCAAATGGAACTTTTTAGTAAAACTGCTGTGGTGGTTTGTCTCTGTCTGGAGGCCAGGTGCCCACCAAAGCCATTCTATCACTGCCCCCTCATAGATGGACAGGGAAGAGGAAAAAATATAGCAAGAGGCTTGTGGGTCAAGATAAGAACAGCTTAATAAAGAGAAAGCAAAGGCCACACATGGAAGCAAAGGCAAACAAAAAGATTATTCTCTACTTCCCATGATCAGGCAATGTCCAGCCACTTCCTAGGCGCAGGGCTTCAATACGCGTAGCAGTTGCTACAGAGGACAAAGGCAATCAACAAAAGCCCCCCTCCCCTTCCTTCTTTTTCTTAGCTTTTATATCTGAGCTGACATCATATGGTATGGAATACCCCTTCGAGGAATTCGGATCAGCTGGCCTGGCTGTGCCTCCTCCCAAGATGTTGCCCACACACAACATACTGTTGGGGTCAATGCTGGAAAACCACAGCCCTGGTACTGTGTGAGCACTGCTCAGCAGCACCCAAAACACGGGGTGTTATCAACATCCTTCTAGCTACCAGTACAAAACACAGGACTATGAGAGATCCTCTAGGGAAAACGAACTCCATCTCAGCCAAACCCAATACAACTGTTCAGTCACAAAGAGATTTAAAACTTCCAACAGACAATCCAGGATGTTTCTGATTATAGTTAGAAGGAGAGACCATATCTGGGGAATATACAGAAGGTTTTTGTTAACTAATACCTCTAAAGGGCACTGAGATCTTGTGCTTGAATTACAGAATAGTTTATGAAAAGAAAGCAAAACAAATACCACAGATCAGGAACAAAATGCAGTCTGTGAAATCATGGAAACCATCCTTTGTAAGAAGGTATATACGTAAAGGCTCTTACTTTCAAGGACTCCTTCTCCATCTCTAATCGCTGATGTTCTACATGTGCTTTCACCAGGGCTGCTTCTTTCTCTGCGACCTCCTCTTTCAGCTGATCCACCAGATGAGTCACAGTTTTCAGTTTTATCTTCATTTCTGCTATGTCATCCTAATAGGACAGGAATTGTGACCACAGAGAAAGATCAAAAAAGAGCACATTTGTTATTGGGAGTTCAAGATATTTTGATGCTGGAAAAGGTAGCCATGGTGCTTGACAGGAGATCTGCTGTATGTACCACAAGACATTACTTTTTAATCTAACAGAAAAAGCCAGTTTCATTAAATGACGATTTTTTGTTTATGCCAGCATGACACTGTAGTAAAAAAGTCTTTAAAAGATACATTGACAAAAATAACAACCATCAATTATAATAAGCTATTTAATTTAAAGTGTTGGACATGTGATAAGAACTAGCGGTCAATCCAAATTAATAAGATTCTGATTCTATCAATCTTTTTTCGTGCTTCTAGTAATGTGTTTTTCGATAAGATTGCATACAGTTGGGCACAAAAGTTTGGAAAGAAGTGGGTTACAGGAATATACCCATAAGGAAGATATCTATATGCCTGCAAAGGAGTATAGAAAATATTTTTCTCCCTTTTGCCTACGTGCTAGCTGGCACATTAGTGCAAAGAGGAAAGAGTATGCTCAGAGATTGAGAAGTCTTTGGTATGAGAATATTTAGCATATATTTTAAACTGAAAACACAGAGCAGAAAGCCTGGTAGCACTACAGAGATATAGGGTCACTAAGGAATTCTTCTACCTGCAGCACTGAGGTGCCTGCCTGTACAAAATTCAGAAACTGTTTCAACTAATGGCAGTGACAGCACATGTTGTGACACGAAACGGAAGCTAATAAATTCAATGCTTAGGCAGACGTGCTCTTCTAGATCTAATGAACGTAGTTTTAGAAGCTATTACGCCCCTGCCAGAGGCTGCTGCCTCAGAAAAGACATCATAAGCTTTCATGTGAATCCATTCTGTTTCAGTACAAAACCAGGGTAGCTTAGAGCTCTTCCAGCACTTTCCACCATATGTGTGGATTTACTTGACAAATGAGTGATGTTTTCTTGCATGAAATGCTTAACATAGTTAAGCAGGATCTTGAGTCATGGCAGTCTTCCCAAACAGTACAGAGAAAGTACTGATTAGTACTCTGACTGCCCTCAAAAACAAAATCCATGGATTCCACACTTATCTGGCAAATTTAATGAATCAGAAATAAGTGCAGCCATATGCCATTAGGCCCACCTATTTACATGTTCAGTCACTCCTGTGAATGCAAAAGTCATGTTAAAAGCTTTCTTTGCTAAATAGTCTACAAATCTCTCCAATATTTTAGAGATGAGAAAGATTTAAAATATGATGCCCAGACAGATACCCAAATACATTCTTAATTCTGTACCTAATGAAGAACAGTAAGAACGCACAATTTTTACAAACACATCTCCTAATCAACTTGCTTAAAAAAATGAGCTTCTCACACCAGAAGAAACCCAAGGATGAAAGCATCAGGCATTTATCTCATATTAGCAGCCTACCAGTACTGAGCTGAATATTATGGCACTCTTGAGACCACTAGCAAGGTGAGCAACAGTGGATCTTTCCACATTAAGCAACCCAAAACTACTTACATCTACCTTTTGAGAAACAAACTTGTGCAAACTTGTCCCCAAAAGAAAAAGAATTTATCATAATTTTTAGCACAACACTCTTTTTTTATTTTTTTTTTTCATGACTGGCTGACCTATTATTGAACTCTGAGTGGCTATTTTTTCTCTGTTACACATTATATTGCCTTGGCCAGAAGATCTTTCGAGGTCAGCTATCTTCTCACACAGGACTTGCTAAACAAGATTAGCAAAGTAAGACAAGTAGCAAAGTAAGACAAGCAATCTTTTAAAGTCTAAACATCAGCCTCTAGCAACTAGAGCCACTGTGTATACCACCATATAACAATGAAAACTTGAAATAGCTGATAAGTTTGCTTCTTCATTTTGTAACTCAGCACAGAGATGCCAGTTCTTTATCAGCAAGCAAATTTACAATGCAGATTTAAAAATGAAATAGTAATAAAAAAAAAATCAGTGTTGCAATTTTTCAGCCTTATTTCTCCCAAGAGATTCCTTGGGAGCAGTCAGAATCCCAACACCGTGCCCACCGATGAGAGGCAGAGAAAGGTCAAGTAAAGCATCCCACATATATGGCAAAATGGTTAACTTCTAATCAAACTCAGCATGCAGTTGGATGGGGACTAGGACAGTTAATTCCTACCTTCTCCTCAAGCAAAAATAGCTGCTTATTCAAACAGTATAAATTTATGATCTACTATATATGTTTATGCTATAAATCCTTATTCTGAAATAACTGTAAATCACAGCTATCCAAGGGCCCAATGTCTGCCAAATGCAATAGGATTTGTGAAGCATTTTAGATCTTTAAACTAGAATAACAGAATGTATCCTTAAGTGATCTGTTCTCTTCCCATAGTATTGTTAGTGAGATCCCCAAGGAAGAGATATGAATGGAGAGAATTGATATCTGAGGAAAATGACACTCCCTGAAAGGAATAAGCGACATGGAAAGATGAAGTTCTGTCAGAAAATTCCACTTCTCTCTGCTTTCTAAATCATGATTCACAGTAATGTGTGTATGCATTCAGGGTTAAGGAGGCAATCTTCTTCCCCTTATACCCTATTTACCGTATGTGCAGACAACTAAAGGGATAAAACAGAGAGGAGCCAGGATGGAAAGGAAAGTTTCTTCTCTGCTAGTGTTTTATGATTATGTAGCTCCAGTGTACTGTGATTTTATGTGTCATTTGAAGCAAGGATATTGCCACATGATGACCGTGGACTCCTATTTCCAGTCTAAATACAAACTGTCCAGATAAAGTGTCAGGGGCCTAAAACATTCATTTCCCCAAAACACACAGAATAAACCACTTCTGCCATTTATCCAGTGAGTTTTCCTCTTAATTAATTAAAATTAGATCAAGAAAAAAAGGCAATAGCAGAGAGAGAAAGGAAAAGGAAGAATGTATTCTTCTACCTTAGCTTCAATGAGATTCTTATTGTAGAGGTTCCTCTCTGCTTTCATAGCTTCACAGCTGTTCTGCTGCTGTTTTAATTTAACCGTAGACTCTTCTATTTTCTTTTCATAGTCACAGATCTGTATTTCTCGTATTTCGATATCTTTCAGGTGCTGGAGGACCTGGAGTGGAAAGAAGGAAGTGAACAGGATTAAACCATCATCACAAGATTATAAGGATGGGGCTGAGTCTGTGATTTTCTTCCAAGATGACAAATACAAATCCTTGTGATAAGTTTTAGCTAGAGCTAAAAATCACTTCAGTCCAAGTAAAAGTTTAACCTTTCTGGATTGCTTATGTGGGACAAAATTTTATTTTAATCTGATACCTAGGTTTTGTTCAAGACTAAAACTTACAGATGTATACATTTAATTTAAAAAAGAAGCTGCAGAAAATATTGCCACTGAGCAAGTTCAATAAAATCAACATAAAGAGCTTTCAACAAGAATAGCGTTAGGTTATTTACAGAGCAAAGTTAGACTTTGTAGGACAAGATAAACAAAAAAATGTATGTTTTACCGTGAAGCCCAAAAGGTACTTCTATATTCTAACAACTCTTTTTTTTTTTTTAAAAGAACACATGATCACAAACTATTGACACATAATTATGATATTAGGAAAGTCAGTTAATGTAACTTACACTTGGTCTAATCAAGCAGTTAATTACCATTAGTTGCTTCTATGAAGGATTAGAAATAATGATGTGCAGACTACCTAAAGAGAATGGAGTACTGTACACTGTAGAAAGAGGACCATATGCAGTGTCAATAAGCAAAAATACAAAATTTTATAGACACTTTTATTAAACAGTTACCACCATAACAATACATAAGAATTACTATGTTAAAGAAACAAAACCACAAATAGTTGCTAAACGTTATGATGGGCTTCCTAATTACTTTTTTAAACATAAGAACCTTCCTCCTGCTGTACAAAGTTGAAAGCCAAGCACAAAATAGCAATATTCAAACAGAATCCAGAATTATAAACAAAGAAGAATAAAAGAAATAAAAAGAAAACTAAGCAATACACATATCAAGAACATAATTTTTCAGGTTCACAGCCCAGGGGAGAAAACAATGCCATCCTTAAAGCTGGGGAAAAGACCAAGCATTAAAGAAAAGCTGAGGAGTCACATGGATGGAATCACAGGCTGGAAAATTCAGAAGAGAAGTCCATTTACAACTGCATTTCATATTCACTTCTCCTGACTGTTTTTGAAAATAGTAATTTGATCTAACTTTTACATTCATATGTCAAATCAGAAGAGTAAAACAAAATAAAAAATGTTTACCTCAAATAGTAAGCGCAAAGTTTGTGGCCAACAATGTTATTCCTTGCTTAACAGTAAAGCCTTGTGAGGTCAAACTATGGGGCAGGAGCTTAATTAATTGAACATTCTACCAGGTACCTCCAACCAACTTAAAAATAGGGGACAGATGAATAACGAAAATTTTGTTACAGCAGCAGGAGCTGCAGAGGATCCAGAAACTGCTTACAGTGCAACACAAAAACACAGTCCCAGTTTATTACCTACACCTGCCTTTCACATTTTTGTTAAAGCAACCTGCCAATAGTAATAGCAGGGCAAAGAAATCAATAAGAGATGTTTCTGTCTGCACTACGGTGATCATAGGCTGGAGTAAGATTTGAAAGTAGGTCACTGCATTTTTTTAGTCTTTTACTTGACTTTGTTACAATGTAAGTGCAATAAGGTACTGGACTAAGTTTTCTGAGTTGTGTTCACAGGCTGGAAGCTGACTCTGCTTTTTCAGGAATGACTAAACCCAAATAATTCTCCCTTATAAATACAGAAAGATACATGAAATGTTTCCCAATAGAGCCCTGTGGGAGGTTGAGAATCCTCAATTCTGATATAGTTGATGACACATTACACCTCTCAGATTTGGCAACGAGTGGTCAAATCTAAGCAGAAAGTATTTGATATTCATTGTTTTCTTCTGTACCCTCATAGGTTTTTTTCTGCACACTTAATTATCACCTACTGCTGGTTACCTGTTCAGTTCAGTGAACTTATTCGAGACCTCTGAAATAGGTAATCCTTATTCGCTTAACTTTATTTAACCACTTCGAGAAGTGCTGCCATGGTCTTAATAATAAGCCTGTTGAGTATTACATTTTCCAAAGGATTATGCAGATTTATAAAAGGAAATACATTTTTTAAATTTCCTGGACACGTTGTTAAACTGTAAACTTCACACTGTAAATGGCTTTTTTTGACAAACCAATGTATTAGAGACTCTTTCTGTGACCTCGCACAAGGTGCAGTCAGGGAACACTTCAGGTGAGACCGAAGGGTATGCTTCACCACTTCGTTGCAGCAGCCTAAACCTTCCCCTGGGAAACTAAGTTTTCATAATCTAAGAACATCAATTAAAAAAAGAAATATTCTACTAACATTTGCAGCTTAGTAATACACGCTACACAACAAAGAGCCAGATGTAAGACTATTCAACAAGTGACACTGGTACAAATAAACAGTCAGCTAGGCCAATAATTACAAGAGCAAGTCTAGCATGAATTCTCACCACTAAAATCTTTTACGGTTGTGGATATAACTTTGCTGACTCAGTTCATTGGTTACTCAGTAGTAAATGATGACTTTGAAAGAGGAATTCTGCAGCTCTATAGATTCTGTCCTGCTGTAAATAACCAGACAGCTTTCAGAGCCAGCACGGCTCTGTCTGCCTTTCAGGAGTTCCAAGAAGTCTTTGGACTGAGATGAGTTTGGCTCTTTACCAGCTCTTAACACAATTCAGGTGTGCAGCAAGCTCCTGCAGAGCCGGCTTGACAGTGAAAGGTGATGGAAGAGCACTGGCTGGCCATCAGATCCTGCAGTCAGATCCTGGCCCAAAGACCCCTGCCCGCCAGCGGCTCATTCCCCACCCCCTGGGAAATGACTCCTGCAGTCTTGCCTCAGTTTCTCAAGTCCACATAGGTCAAGCAGTGAACCTAAATATAACCTAGTGGTTATATGTCCTCCTAATATCCTATATACATATATATATCATGTCCTCCTACCTTGTATTTTGGCCTGTCTTATCCTTCAAACAACGAGCAATTTTATGTAGGAAATCTCTGCAGGGGCAATACTATCATCTCACACATTCCTGCGCTCAGAACTGCTTCTGCTGCTCAAACTAAATCAGGAATTGCCCCTTTAGGGAACCACAGAAGCATGTACATCCTTTGGAAAGGCACAATCACAACACAGTCATCAATGTACAAACAGCTCAAGTGCCATAACTCACCCCCTGACATTCTGTCTTACAAGAAGTGACAGAAAATTTGTACCCAAAGTGGCAGAGGCAACAAAGAAAAAGTAAACGAGCAAACATTTGTCATTTTCACCCTCAAAATATTGTGAGCAACTCTAATCAGAATTGAAAGCAGGAGTCTTGTAGTTCTGAGTGTTATGAATTATTCCCTGGCCCTAGTTTACAATGTTCTTAACTCATATCTATGCTGTTAGAAATGCACTATGAGGGAAAAATACAAAATATGACTTTGTAACAAAGACTAATTCCACTTTCATGGAATACTATTCCAAGGAAATGACAAAAGGTATTCTAGTCAAGGGAGCATATACTATCCAAACAATGATTTTAAAGCCTCCGGTCACATGAAGTTGAAAACGATAATTTTAAAGTGAAAAGATAGCAAATAACTTGTGAGTAGAAACAACCTGACAGGTAGTCCCCATAAATCAATGAGCTTCTTGGAGGGCCCTTCAATGTGATCTTCATCAACTAATGGAACACGTTGCAATGATGCTTCTGAGCATACCCTCAGGAATAAAGTTGTACACAACACTAGACAGCAGGAAATACAAATTTTACGTAGTGCTACTCTGCAGCTATTCCTGGTAAACTTTGGTTTTGCAGACTACTTTGAGCATGTTCAGAGGTTCCACATACTAGGAGTAATCCTTCGAAATGCCAAGTCTCTTACAAAGATGTTGAGCACTGTCAGCTCTCACTGGCCTCAATTTGAGGACACCAGTAGTATACGAGATAAGGTCTTTTGCAGATAAGACAGAACAATTAATGAGTAATTTCCAACTGCATACGATTCAGTTGTGGGACTCGGGTATAAGAAGTCAGAGGCCTTGTTTTGAAGTCCAGCCCTAGTTTCACTTCCCAAACGATTGCTGAATAAGAGAAATAGATGACTGCACTCCAAGTCTCTCACAGAATACACACTCTTTGATGAGGTTCCCCCAGAGAGACCTGAAACAGTAATAGGCAACATGCACCGATAAGAAATCTTTGTAAACTGTGCGAAGACCACTGATCTAAGCTTCCTCCCACTGGCACATTAGGAAATTATTATATCGTCTTTGTGGTTTTGAGAGTAAGATAGGAAAGAGCAACTTGCATAAAAAGTTGTTCCTACCTTCTGTTTGAGCTCATTGGTTTCACTGATGAAACAATCTCTTTCTTTCTCCAACTGGTTTATAATTTTCGTTTGTTTCTGAGCTTCATTCTTATAATTTTGGATTTCTTGCTCCAAGTTCTTCTTTGACTGTATATGGAGTTTCACCAAATTTATCTGCTTCTGAGTGGCATTGTTAGCCTTGGTCAAGTTCTATAAGATATACAAAATAACGACTCTTAAGCTGAAAAGGAAACACTGCCAATACTATGACAAAAACATGCCATTGTCCAAGTGGATTATGGACTTCCCATTGTTATTACACTTTATCTAATTTGTTCAGTTGAAATACTTCAGCCTCAAATCTGATTAAAAAAAAATATCTCTATCAGAGTTCCTAAATAGTGTTTTTCCTGATATGAAGTAAAAACACTAGTGCCTGCATTACCAAAAAAAAAAAGATAGGATTGTTTACAAGTGAATATAACTAATAACTGCAAAAATCTCACCAGCTTTAAGGCATTTAGATTGTAAAGAATAGCAATTGCCATTAAAATAAATAATAAAGCCAAATACCCTTCTTTCTCATCCCTGAAGTTTGGTTTAAAATTATGCATAAGGTTTAAACAGAAAACACCAAGACACCTTCTTTAAAAAAGTCATCCTGCTGTTCCCACTTTGAAATTTCTTTCAAAAAAGAACGGTTATTTTTCACCTGTCAAATCTGGGCCCCTGCTCAGGACAGTGACTCTATACCAAGTAAAGCACCTCAGAAATAATCTTTTAGCATTGAATTTACTAGATTACACTTCAAGAATGGCCATAAACATGAGATGCTACCCTGCAGTACAAGAACCTTGGGCTGATGGAAAACAATCAGTATGAGAAATGGACCTAAAAGCAAGGGTTCGTATTAACACAACCTGTCAAGTTGCTACACAGTACATCAACATTTTGGTTAGTTCTTTTACTAGTGAAGACTTAGTTTGCCTAGACTAATCTTAAACTTCATATGTTACAGAGTGTAAAAGCATACACATAGCGAGCTCCCTGGATATCAAATAGAGTTTACACAAAGGTGAACGCATGTAGCAGTCCTTAAATCCCTGACAGTTTATATGTTAAGACATAGAAATCTATTGTGTGTTTATGAATACTAATGCTATTTCAATGCATAGAAAAGAAGCAGTGTGTTCATCTGCTTAAGGAAATCTGAATGCTCTACTTAGCGTTATATATTCTACAACATTTTTGTGTCACAGAGAGTGTTGAAACTACAGACATTTCATTCTCAAACTGTGAGATTTTTTTATCAGTATTACCAATGCAAGCTCACCATGCTTAGCATATCCCTTTCCCTCACGAGCTCATCTACAGCTTTCTTGTCAATCTCCCCCTGCTTTTTGGAAGCCTCCAACTCTAGAGAAAAGGAGAAGAGGGATTAACTCCTGGCTTCAAACTGTATAATTGTTAAAAATGCAGAAACAACTGAGTTCAATTATCTATGACCAGGTTTGGGAGTCTCATGTATGACCTAATGATCACGGGGAAGTTTGATCATGGGGAATTTTATATGGCACCTGGTCTGCTGGCGACAGTTGGAGTACAACTGTCTCAAAAGGGGAAAAGGATCCTTGCACAGGAGTTGGCAGGACTCGCTGAAAGGGCTTTAAATTAGGCTCAAAGGGGAAAGGAAATAATACCAGGCTCACTAGAGATGAGTCTAAGGATGGCCTTCAGTCTGCCATCCCACTCGAGGTGGATAATGGTGGTATGTGTGATGAACCCGGGACTGCTGGGGATAAGACTCAGGGTGACATATCAGTTGCTGGAGGTGGTATCTGTACCATGGATCAAGTCCGCCAATGTCCGCATCATGGGCAATAAACAGGAGGAGTTAGAAGTTTCACCAAGTTCTTAATACTTGAGAGGGAAAAAAAAATCTTAAAACTATTTTTTTTCTGAAAAACACTTTGAAAATGTGTCTATTTTTATTTCAAAGCATATTTGATTTTGAAAGTGACTTGCATTCTAAAGTTTAAAAAAAAGAAATGGTTTAAAGCACTCCAAAATACCTAAAAAGTTTTGGTTGGTTGGCTGGGGTTTCTTTTGAAGTTAAACAAAATCTTTTGTTGAACTCAAGGTATTTTCTTCCAAAATTTCCATTTAGCAAAAATATCAAAATTTCCTTCTTAAAGCTTTCCAGATCTGCCAGCAAGTCAAAATCGATACTTGGGCAGCTCTAGTATCTATATTGACCAACTGAGGCCCTAAACATACCAGAACTAAGTTTATCAGGTCACTTGCACATGTTCATTTCCAGACTGTAACTATTCAGCAGAATCAAAGCATGAAAAAAAGTGCATCCTAACCATGTCTGATTTCAGTAAGCTCCAAGACTGGTTCTCTCTCACAGGCCAATGCAGGAGCAATGAAGATGCATCGAGGACAACTCTGCGTGATGTGGCACAAACTGGCATACCACAGAGTTCAGCTCTGTTTGTCTGTTGTATTTCCACCCTACATATGCTGCATTATGTAAATTCTGCAAGCCTACAAGGCTTCTAAAATGTTGCTGTAGATTCCAACTGTCGTTTATACAGTCTCATTCTAGACACTAATGGAGAATGATCCTAACAGGAGGATGCACCCTGATGGAACAAATTATGAATCAGAAGATAGATCCACCCATTAATTAGGTACCTACCTCTCTCCAGTCCAGAGATCTGATTTTTTAGGATGTTTCTCTCATGGGCTGCATCAACTTTTTGTTCCTCTGCAACACGCAGCTTATTCTGAAGCACATCGCTTACTTTGTTCAGCTTCGAAATTTCAAGGCGCATCTGAGTCACTTCATCCTCTCTGGTCTACAGAACAGTAACAAGGAAAGAGAAGAGAAGGTATCCACAGAAAGAAAAAGCCTCTATACTTGGCATACACTTACTCAGTGAAATTCAGGAAGCAAAGTATAAGTGCTGTAGGTCACCTGAGAGAAAATAATTAGCTAATTGAACAATATTTAAAATAATTTAAACAAAGCCAGCTAAGGCAAGAAAAATTATAATCAAATCTTATGCTTCAGGGCTAAAGATGATCAATAAAGAATCCCCAGCTGCAAACCTCACACACGAGGTTAGTTTTGCAGATTAAACATAGGCAGCTCTAATTTCCTTTGAAGTATTAGGGACAGTGACTGCTATGAGAAACCTATCTGTAGTGTGGTCTGATGGCATGTCCCTAATAGCAGGTATCTGTTATCCACACCTCTTTTACAATCTGTTTGTCTCATTTGCTATACAATCAGAGGAGAAAATAATCAATCAAAACACTGCATAGTTAAGTTACCAGGAAACACAACCAATAATCACAACACAAATTGGTCTCTTTCCTTCTAAGAAGTAAATATAACCCATATAAATCAGTACCACTGTTTACAGCCATCACAGACCACAGTGTTCCACTTTCAGCCTCAGATACCGACTCTGTGAGACAGTGAATCCTGCTATGTGAGTATCCTCTAGGAGGATGTGAATGTCCTCAACTCTTACAGACAATAACCGTCAAGAGATTTATGTGTACTTTCACAGTTTGTGTGGCCCAACATCATAGTGGAGGCACTCAGCACATTGCAGGATAAAACTGCAAGCACAGTGCCTACAAAAAGAGTATTTCAGATCATGACTGAGGCTCTTAGAAGCTTAAGCAATTGGCTTAATTAATAACTGGGAAGTATCTTCTGTTTTGCTCCCAGAAGTCCATGTGCATGACTATACAAGTTCCATCAACCTTTCTTGAAGTTAAGATGATAGAATCACAATCTGCCTTTTGACACTCTAGAGCCCCAAATGTCACATTTTTTGTAAAGTTTTAAATAATCATGGGTATTGCTATAAGTAATGAAAAAACCAGATAACATGGAAAAGGCAACCATTTGTTTTCCAAATAGGCAAAAAAATATCCTCTAGTCTGCCTAGCAAACTACAGCAGAAAACAAGCTCCTACCATACAGTCCATTAAGGATCGAAATCAGAGTCATCTGTGTTACATTCGTTATGAACTGAGCTTTTAAGCTGTCAGTGGTTAGTTTTTATCGTTCTGACTAACAGTTCCCATTGGAAAAGAAAAAAAGCTCTCTATTGGCAAACAACCTTTTTATTTCAGTGAGTTGGTTATATTTGACTAAACCTTGATAACGATTTTCTACCTGAATATCCTAACGTTTCGTGTTTTAATCTCAATGATACGAAATGCAAGATATGGTAGACAGAGTAATGACATCTAAGAGTTATACACTAACCTTTATCACAAATGTTCTCAAAGTACCTTAAAAAGCAGATACAGGAATAATCTAATCCTTCCCCAACTGAAACTCACTTACTTCTGAGACGTACAAAAAAATGGTTTTTACAACCATGTAAAGTCAGGCAAGAAAATCATTTAGATCAGAAATTAAACACCAGCTTGGTTAACTATATTTCACTTCCCCAGTCTATATTGTGGGGGTAAAATTTTAGTGTTTGAAGTAATTCCCACCAGTGGAAGCTATCTGGGACATTGTTCAATGGGTTTTACAAACATTTGGGTTGCATTAATCGCTGCAAGACAGAAAGTAACTGGTCTTATCTGAAGATGTCACAATAAAAAAATAACAACACCTTATGCTTTTCAAAAGCACCATGCATCCTTTATCAACACAATGTACTGAGCATTTTGGTTTCTGTGTTTTACGTAACACGGCTGCTTCAACAGGACAGGTGCTGCGCTGTCAGGTGACAGGGCTGGAGACTGCACCATGGTGCTGCCACAGAAAGAACAGCATCCAGTGATAGCCAGATTTATTCGTAAAAACTCCTCAGATTTCCTCCAAAACCACCCAAAGGAAACTATGAGTACAAGAACCAAGGCCATCCCTGTCCCAAGTGGTATGACTCCCAGAGGGACATTGCTGATGGGATGCATGCACTTTCTGGGACTTACTTTCAGTTCTGCTGTCTTCTGCTGGATGTCTTTCATCACCTCTTCCAACATGAGAGTGTGCTGCTCATTCTCTTGCATGAGCTTATTATTTTTTTTCTCCAATCGCTCAAGTTCCTTACTAGCTCTTTCATTCAAGATCTGTTAAAGAACAATCCTATTAACTCTTTTTAATCTCATTACAACATCTACACATACATGAAGACAAAACCTTCCATCTCCCCAGTAGACGAAAGCTGCTACAGATTGTTGTCTCCTTAAAAAACACTTCATTGCTGATGAAAACACTAATGTGAAATATGATAGATGTTCATACTGACTAAGAGAAATGATAATTTCTAATGAATAACAGAGCTGGTGTCTTTTATTTTTTTTCCCCTGAGAGCTTAGCAGGTCTCTCTTGCAGGTGGTAGATAAATATTTTAGTTCTTGTTAGGCATTTGGCAAGCACCAGTAACACAACTTGATACATATAATTACTGAAAATGAGTATGAGATTCAAATTACTTCAATCAGCAGAGGGCAGGGGAGCTCTGTTTCTTAGCAAGTAAATCCTATATAAATACGCTGATAACATTTCTGTGGGTACATGGTTTGCTGAGACCAGGACACAATCATTTTCTTCTCTAATTAGTCTTCAGTCAAAAGTGTGGAACAGCAGTTTCATGGTTTCTGCAGAGAACATAGACTTCAATACTGGAGCTGCCAGTCTTTTCTTCTGCTTGACGGGACTTCCCCTAACAAATATTACTCCCTAAGTGAGGAAAGAACAATGATCATATTTTTCGCTTCAAGCATTAATGAGTGACAAACTGATGTAGGCAATATGTGCTATGCCCTTAAACATCAAAGGAAGAGAACTGGAAATTCCCTCTTCCGGAAGCCTGCAGAAGCAAAGACAACGTGAAAACAAGTAATGCTGTTTCTTGTGTTGCAAATGTCAGGGTAACATTGTGTTTCAGGACGTGACTTGGATGTGGGTTGGATGATGCCTACAGTAGCTGTACAGTAGCTGTATCAAACCATCTTCACTGTCGTGCAAGCAAGCGTATTTTATTACAAATTTCAGTAGAATAAGAGCAGGCATCACAGCCAACTACAATTCTGTTGAGAAACAATAACCGAATGATTTTTCAATGGCTGAGTCACCTTCTCCTCCAGATCTGTGCCCTGACTCTTGCACAGTTGGATATCAGCCTGTGTTTTGGACAGACATTTTGCAAAAACAATGCAGGGCCTCCACAGACAACTTCAAGTCAGCACAGGCAACAAAGACAGTACGATACTCTAGTTAATTAGCCCAGGTGCAGCACTTTAGGTGAACTATCAGTTTCCAAGATAGTTTGGACAATTGAATGCTCCTAAAATCTGGACTTACAAAGGTTGAAAGGGACTACAGGAAGAAAGAGGAAGAAGGGAACAGAACCAGGAATTGTACACACCCTATTTAAAATCAATGTGATTGTCCTGGCAGATCATGGAGCTGCCCTGAAAAGCTGCATCAGATCGATGGTATGAGGGTATCTCTTTATGTGAGTTATTTTACTAAGAGTCTGTGTTGACAAAAAAATTGTCACAGACCTCAACCTTCACAAAATGAGGGATCTGAAAGGAAGTAAAAGCCATAAAAGCCATAAATTTACAAGATGCACACAACTCCCAAAGAAGTTTTCCTTGAGGTTGGACCGTTTTACAGCGATGAGATCTCCCCTGCCATTTATTGAAATTGCTTCTCTGAGAGTTTCTCAAAGTCAGGTGAAATGGACTGAAAACTTGAAAATTCAAACACTTGCAGAACACTATGTTAGGACATTTTCAGATAAAGTTTTTAGAAACAAAATGTGGAAAATAAATCAAAATGGTTTACAAAGACAGTTCTCTGCCCTTTCACAGAATCTCTTCTGTGAGCTTGAGAGGTAGATAAAAGTTACTGTGACAGAGAAGAAAGAAGGGGTTGGAGGTAAAATGACTTTGCCAGTGCCACTACAGTCAATCAGTGTCAAAAGTGGCATTATGTGTCAGAAGTCCACCCTCGTAGTCTCCCGTTACTATCATTAGATCATCCACTCTTCACAGACTTTCTCATTTGCTGTGATCTTTGGAAGACAATTTCTAACAATATCATTGCAATCCACTAGAGGAAATCTATCTGAAACCTGTTCAGCAAACTTTACATTTTTATTTATTAGTAAAGTAATATTTATATTAAAATATATATTTATTAAAATTTATTGATGTAAAATAATCTCCCTCCCTCTCCCTTCAGGAAAACCCATATTCTTCATATTTTGACATCTGACCCTATGAATACAGAGAACCATGAACCCTACCTTCTGCTCTTTTAGACACTCTTCCATTTTCTGTTGTTCCTCTTTATTTTTCTGTATATGCTGCTGTAAATTCTTGATCTCAGCTTGCTTGTTACCCACTTCTTCTAGAAGAGTTTTCCGCTCCTTCTCCATTTTTTCCTTCTTTAGAGCCTCTTGTGATGCCTCATTCTGACGCAGCTGGATCTCTTGCTGAAGCTATAATAATAAAGAAGACAAAATTTTTAAGTTCTGCTGCCTTTATTCAGGAAAACAAGGTCTCTCACCTCTCCTTCTGCTCTGCTTGATTTTGAAAACAAACAGCTTCTATACTACACATGGAGTATCCCAGATCTTCTCAGAAGTAAATATGTTCTCTAATGTTTGAACAAAAAATGCTGCATAAGGGAACCTATTTACTGATGACAAGAATTTGTTAAGCACCAGTTAGTTCACCCATGCAGAAGGGTCTGGCAAAGTTCAGACCTGAAAGCATTCCTCTGGACATGCAGTGGCACAAATGTACTTTCAGTTGTAAAATGGTACTTCCTGAATGCAGCATTAAAACTAATTTGGGCTTGATACTGTATTGCAAGCATTTTTATTCTGATTTTCCTACCTCATTAGTAGAAACATTTATTACACTGGTATTAAAAGAGAGAGATGTCAGACCAGTGTTCATTCTCACAACTGCTCTCGAAGTTTCTCTGCAGAAACTTGGAAAGAGGAACTTTCTCTCATATTTAATAGACTGTCTTGTGACTTCTGCTCCCTCTCTCCCCCAAAATGTGACAGAGCAGAATCAGCAGAGAGAAGACACAGGGGGTTGATCCACATGGAAATATTCAGTTCAGCCAGGGACCAGCAATTGAAAGATGTTCTTCGCTTAAAGATTCCTCTCCCTCTGAGCCCACAGATGAAAAGTTGCCAGAACTGACAGTGTCTGCAACAAGATCTTCAAAAAGACATTGTCATTTAAGCAGTCTGAAGTGGAGAATAATTTCATACGGGGAGGATAGGAGGTGGTTACAAATGCTGTAACAATCCCATAAATTTAAAGGTTGATGGAGTATCAGAAGATGAAGGCTGGCAAGATTCAGTAAGTTTTGCTGGGAGTTTCAATCCTCTCTCTTTTCTCCCATGCACAACAATGTTGCTAGAAAAGCAAAGATTCATACTGTCTTGTAATACACTCCCATCCATCTGTTTTAGAAACTGAAACTAATTAAGTACATGAAGCCTAGGCTGATCTTTACTATCTTACTTGTGATTAACAAAAGACTGTAAGCTAAATGCTGCTCCTATCTGTTCTCTGTTGTGTATTTAAGTGTTGTTTTCCACTTTTCCTTTCTCCTATTGTCTTGCTCCAGCCCCTATTTATATTTTGCTTTAAATTCTTTTGTTCCTCGTTATTATATTTTTAAATTTTGATGTATCAGAGTTCAGTGGGTTTGATGTATCAGAGTTCTCTCCATTCAGTGGGTATCCTATTGATCTTCAATCTTCTGTGCCTCCATCTGCTAATCACATTTAAGGGAAGCTATACATATTGATCAGTAAAGAAGAACTGTCTATTCAGATGGTCAGAATATCAGAGAACCTTACAAAGTGGAGACAAAGACAGTAAAGCTGAGATGGAATATGACTGCTCTCTACAGACCACAAGTTAGGTGAAAAAATACTTAAGATGAAAAACAGTAGTGAGGAATCAGTGAGAAGAAGAAAGTAGGAGGTCTCTAGCCATTAGAAAAGTGAAGCTGTAGAAAAAGTTCCCATAAGAAGGAAGAGAGAAAAGAGCCTAGTTAGCTTTTAAGTCAGAATTTGACACATTCTTAAAAATAATGGTATGGCATCATATGAAAACCACTGCCAATAGCAAGGGACCTAGGATCTCCATTTCAGTTCTACGTTCTGAGTGGTTCTTCAGAGGCACAAGGATATACAATGCAGAAGAAAATCCCCATTTCCAGGATGAAAGGTAACTGTGATTCAGGCAAAGGAACCTTGGTCTCACCCAAGGCATTGGGAAGCTACGGAAGCAGCTGGTACATAACATTACACTTTGCAAAGGACACAGCCTAGAAGCATAGAAAAATATAAAAGTCACTCATGTGAGAGTTCTTTCTGAGCACTCACGAAAATGTCTGAGATGTAAAAGAACAGGTGGTAGCATACTAGTCAATGGAGATCAAATGCAAGAGTGGAGAATGGTTCAGAACAAAGCCTAAAGTCACCAACCGGTGATCCGTACAGACCTGCATAATGGATTGTTCTGCCTCGTTTTTTGCCTTTTCTGTATCCTGCTGCTGCTTTGTGGCCTGAGTTAGACTTTGACGTAACTCCACAACCTCTGACAACAGTTGGTTTCGCTCCTCTGTTACCTCTTCTTTAAGTTTTAGCAAATCCTTGATACTGGAAGCAAGGAAATAACAGTCAAGCAGTGTCACAGGCCATTTATGTTCTTGCTCCTATGTCAAAGCAAGATCTTTCATGAGAAACAGGAGTTTTAAAGTAATTTGTTTCATTTTAAACTCCTTTTGGATTAAGGCTCTGCTGGTCAGTTGAATTCTGTGCTCTGTCTACTGTGATCATAGTCACCATCAACACAGGCAGCTTTAAAACTCAACCTAGTCCAATAAATCACTTTCTCTTGTTATATCACATCTTTACGGGTCCAAAGAAACCTTGTTTCCCATGAAGGTAACAAGGAACACAATTCCTCCTCTACCCACTGCAAAATTATTCAGGGATCAAAAATGTTACATTCTTGTTAGCAGTCCCTCTGCAGCTTACCTGACCAGGCACCTAACTAGGTTATATCTTACAGTCACCTGCTGTCAGAATAAAAGAGGCTCCCTGTCTGGACACATTTACAATCTGAAAGAAAGTCCAAGCAGTTTCAAGCTCAAACTTAAGAACCAGCCTTACAGTTCCAAAAGACTATAGGGTTTTCATCTCTATAGGGCTGAAAACCTGCAAAGGAGTTGCCTAGTCCCATGGCCTTGTCACTGGACAGAGTACTTAAGCATGGAATTTGAGGGCAATATAGAAGTAACCTTAAGAAGAAATTGTAAGAGGGCAGGTCTCAGCAGCCTGGGCAGCAGCTGGAAACTGCAAGAGCGAGGTCCTGGCAAATTAGTAGCTCTTGGCTCTTGCAGGACAATTCAAAAAGCAGCCACAGAGAGCTGCCCTTAGGGAGAGTTATAGCAGGGGAAGGCTGAGGGACCAAGCTTTTACCTCCAAGGAAACCTGTTACACAGGCCCAGAACATTTTGGGGACAAAAGGTGAAGGAGTGGATTTCTCGTGCATCCAGGTGGTTTATGTGCTGGCACATTCCTTGGAGGGGAAATGTTTGAGCACACTAAAGGCCTTGCTCACAGACACAAGCCTTGCTCATGAAAGCCTTGATACATAGTGCATGGGGAGATGAGCATGTCCCATGTGTAGCCTGAATGCATAATATAAATAAATACGATACAGAGTATGAAAATTTCAAGTCAGAGCCAGCAGGGCCAGCCATCAGAAATCTCGACCTAAAGTGCACAGGCCACAGGGTCAATATACTTAATATCTTAAGAGTTTACACGTAACCTTAGAGCATAAGCACAGTCTGAGGATCTGATAGGACAAACACTGGCTTTTGGAGGGCTTTTGAGCACACTGTAGCAACTAGAGACTCCACGTGAGACTAAGTCCCTCTATGCGTAAGTGTTCAGTACAAAAAAAACCCCATCGTCTCAAAAATGTATAAATATAAAATGCAAACAAGAATACAGACAGTGATAATGCCTTATAACAAATCTGGGAACAGAAGAAAAATCAAGTGTCCTGCTTCTTTGACTAATCTACTCAACTCTGCTGCCATCACATGTAAAAATGTTGACAGGATGTTATTCTCAGAGTCTGTGGAAATGCTAGTCAGATAAAACAATATGACAGATACTGAGAAAGTACATAATATTGATTTTTATTTGATCTCTCAGTTTAATCCAATGCTGACCGAACTCACTCAGAGCCTGATTCGGCACTTGTTCACCACATAAACACACAGACCAATAAACGTGCACTCATGAGAAAAGTACACGGCAGAAAAGACCTCTCTTTCTGTTTGCCAGTGTCTTTGTACTGTCTAAATGGCTAAATCAGGTATCGAATGATAGAAAATCAGATCAGGCTTTCCCCCTGAGGAAAACTTACTTGTACTCCTGTCCCAGGTACAGTCCAGATCCTTGTTCCACTAAATTAGTTAGGCGCACAATCTCTTCTTGCAGTGAATTAATCATTTTCTTTGCTTTCTGTTCCTTTTCATAGGCTTCATCCACCATTTTCCAGGCCCTTTCAATCTCCTAGGAGCAAAATGGAAAGCAATTACATAAATTAAACAGTGTTGAAAATGAACAACAAATTAAAAATTAATTGCTTTGCATTTCAGTTAATTAAGAAAATTAATTTTCATGCCTTTTCATGCTTAGAATCACAACAGTTTTCTTCACCACTTTTCTTTTGGATGAGGTATAGCAAACATTTTGAGCCATTCAGGCTATGTCAATTTACACCACAAAAGCTCTAACACATTTTTGTTAACTCACAGATCTGAACATTATCAAATCTCACTCTACGAGATTTTGGTCCTGTGAGTCCAGCTGATATATAAAAGAAAGTTTGCTGAAAATTCAGTGTCCACAAAGGTATCATCTACTTAAATAGCTCACTCATGTCTATAAAAATCTTAGTAACTGTTATGACACTGAACATCCAGTTTGACGGATACATGTCCTCCTTGCAACATAGGAAAATGAAGCAGTGAAAAAAATTAAAAAACATCTCCACAATGTAGAATATAAAATAATTTAATCTATATCAAATTGTTAACAGCAGTTCTTCACTGAAATTAATATCTTTGGTTTAAAAAAATCAACCATTTAACATTAATTTCCAAATTACACCACCTGAATTATGGTATATTGATAATATTTTTCTTAAACTATTTCAAATCAAATAAATGTAGTACTTAGCTGTTTACCACCTAAATTAAAAGTTCAAGCTATTGCACTAGCAGAAGTAACAGGCTATCAGAATTTGCTGAGAAGGTAACACAAAATATAACACCTGTATGTCTTCAAACTGGAGAGTGAATACATTTTCACTTTATTTATTCAGGTAGTTCAGCATATTCAAATTTGAGAAACCATCTGGAAATTAAAGATCAGGAATGTTTCCTCTTTTTTTTTCCCCCAATCTATTGATAAAGAGTTAAATGGTGGGCTTTACTTGTTCAGAAATTCTGAAGAATATTACAGTCAATTAAATTCACTACCTACAAAGAGTATTTTCGTAACTTAATAAATAGTTCAACATTCAGTTTGAAAAATGTGCTTCTCACTTATGTATCAAGCAGTCAATTTTTATGGTTTATACATTCTGAGTTCTAATTTCCATTCAAATCCAGCAATGATCACACATAAAGCATTCAGCATCATCTAGTATATAATAAATTTTTAATTCATTATTCTCTTACATAAAAATGTTCAATTATGAAATTTAAATAAGTGCATGCTAGGCTGAAATTACAGCATGAAGATATAGTGTATCATCTTGACTGGCAAAAAAGCATAAAATATAGCTGTAAATAAACATGTTTCAGATTTACCAATCAGTAAGAGGCAAACACCCTTTCTCTAGAAAAATGCAAATAGAAAGTAAGATTAAAGCTGATTACTTAAAGCTTCCTGCTGGCTGATTAGACTGTGATTAAAATTGGAGAATTAAATCATTATGACTGGAGTTTTGGGGGATAGAACTGTGGATAAAATCAATACGCCCTCTGAGAGGTCTCACTGGTTTCAGTGAGTATTTTGTTCCAGCGAGTATTTGCAGAAGTGACCGCCTAAAGTCAATGAGGCTATTCAGAAAAACAGTGATTTCAGGTCACCCTAAGCTCTGCTTTTTTGAACTTTATCTTGCCTTTCATGTGTAAAAATTATTGTGTTGAATTTGTATTCATAAAACCAATCTTTATCAAAAAAATTAACAGGCACGGATGATGGCCTTGTTAAAAAGCAAAACCTAAATAAGAATTTGCTACAGATTTCAACATCAGCAAAACTGGGCTTCATTGCAGTTGTCTCTCAGCTGTGTTTTTTACTTTGAATAGAGGATCAACAGAGTGCTTCCTTTAACTTCAAAAGTAAAGAGGAGGAATTGTTTTTGATGGTTGAAGCCTTCACTGAAAGAATAATCATGTTATTCCTCAGTGGTAGAGGAGAACTGAAAGAACGCGGCGTGTCAGCATCATCGGGTAATTGCAGCACACGGTTAGGTAGGTAACATGCATTGCAGTCTGTGGTATAACTGAAGATGGAAGCACGCTGGATGTTTGTGGTTAGAAAATGGAATTAAAAAATTTTGGGAGAAGTACTTGAACTTTGAAAATTGTGAGGCAGAACTCATAGAGTGTGACTGTCTTTATTTCATTAAATAGCCCAAAAAATGACATCAGTTTCACTGCTCAGAAACTGAGAATTACTGAAATGCTTTCTTACTATATTGGATTGATACCCCTGGAAATTGAAAATTTCATAATTCCAGGCAGGGAAGTACAAGCTCCTATAAATTCTAGCAGTCTTCCAGTGCAGCCTTGTGAATCAGTACCCCTATAAATGAAAAAGAGAATTGCATTCCCTTTGTGTTCAGCTTGGCCCTTTGCTCTTTTGATACGACTGTAAACAACAGACTATTATGTCCACTTTATTAAAACTACAAACCAGAGCACTGAACAACCATCAGACAGCTAACAGCTATTGATTATTACTGACCTGGGTCCTACCAGCCACTGATCTGCACAGTTAACCCCTGCCCTGAAACAAATTCTACTGATTAGAACCAGGCTTCACATGGAGAAAAAAATGTGCTTCTGCAACTTTTATTTATGTATGAAACAATGACCTAGAAAAGGAAGTCTGTACACCTGTTACCCTGATGACCCATCAAGTCACCAAGATTTAGGGCCTTAATTTGAAGCAAATATACCATTTTTACACAAACAGCTCCACCAGGATTCTCCTATCCTTTATAAATAATGAAACAGTAGAACAGATTGTTTATTTAATTTAACACTGAAGAATACCATGTTTGCTATTCTGGCACTTGAACTTTCCTCAACACTTGCCTTGGGCACTTGCGAAACACATTTTTTGAATGTTAGTAAAATTATAGTGAAATGCTACAGGTGTAATGGAACTTCCCTTCAGAAAGGAGAATAACATGAAATCTGAAGCGTACACCAAACAAAACTCCAGAACATGATACGTATATTTTAAACAATATCCAAATAATTCCCGAACATTTTAACGGAAAGACTAATTCTCATAACTAAACTGAAAAAGCATCTGCGCTGTTTACTTGGCCCACAGCACACCACTAGAATTGAAATGTCACATGTTGTGCATTTCACATCATTTCTAATAGGATCATATTGTCAAGCAGCTTTTTCACTCTCAAGTCTCTTAGCTGGCTCAATAGTCAGTGGTATTGTTAAGTCAGATCTCGCCTAAGCTTCAAATTACCCGCTGAAATTGGAGAGGCTCTTATTTTTCCTACTTTTTTGCTCCTCTGTTTTATGACATCACTAAGATAGTATCTCTTCAACTTGTGAAGGATTGCCTCTGCTACTCTTCGCACCCAGACTATTGCCATGTAATAGCAGAAACAAAATTATAAGGATCATTGTGGTTCCTGACACCCACGTCCCACCAGATTTCGATTAGCAGCGGTGAAAATCAACAAGATTTTCTACGCAGTCTTCCTCCTCCTTGAGGATGCTTTGAGCAGTACCATGGGCTTGCAAGCTGCAGTCAGAGGATGACAGCACTGCTATTTATATTTACTCTGAGTGCATTTTCTTCATGCTTCTAGAGACAAGAAACTTCATTTCAAAGACTTCTACTTCCGCAGTGCTCATAGATCACTCTGGATTGGTACACTGTATTTATTTTACCGGAACAAAACACTTTAAGGCATGGGGTTTTTCAACAAAATGCTAAATTAAAGCCTGTCTAGGCACCACAGCCCAAGTTTCTAAACTGTAAAAAGAAAAAAAGTTCAAAATGCAGTCTTCTGATTGTTTAGAAGCTTTAGATTCCTGGTATTCAAACCTCACTATAAGGCTAAACACATTGACTGTTTTTAGCAAGCCGAGCACTTTGATTTGACAGGGTTCAAATCAATAATAACAAAAACCACATCAGAGTAAATTTGTAAAACCACACTGAAATGCCACGTAGGATTCCTTTTCAAAAACATCATGAAACATTTATTTATATGAGTTGATGACATTTCCCTGGTCTAAACCCCATATTTCAGTAGGTGCGTAGATTTTTTTTATGTTCTGGCAACAGTTAACATCCAAGCAGCCTTTCAAAAATATTAATGAATCAAAAACTCTATATTAAATTGAAAATGTGCTATTTTAAAGAGGGAAAGCTTAAACAAAAACTACTAGTGAGTACCTAAAAAGCTGATGGAGGCGGTTTAGTGCAAATAAACACAGAATTTGACTGGGAACTGTAAAAATACTAGGCTGAAGAAAGAAAGTAATTGGTAGCAAAGCAGAGGTTAAAAAAAACAGAGATCCAGCTCAGTACTTAGTGCTCCAGCTGGTTCTCTACATAAAATGTTCTTGTAGATGCTTTTCTATTACCATGTTTTTCATTATCACTTTCAGATCACATTTAATTCTCTCACAAAATTTACCGTCTTCAGTGATGATATAGTTCCCTGATCATCTTCAGAGAGTTTTCTGAGTGTGGCTACTTTAGATGAATTCACCAGAAGCTCAGCATTCAGTGCCCTGCATTTTTCCATGAGACGCTTTTCATTGTTGTGAGACTTCTTCAGAACAGCATAGAGCTTCTCATATTCTATTCGGAATTTTTCAAGAGTTTCAACTCCCTTAAGTAAATTGATGACTTCTTGGAACTCTTTCTCCTGTGCTTCAAATGCACTTTCCTCTAGATTCAGTTTGCCAGACTTTTCCTAAATAAAATGAGATAGATAATCAACAAACAGGAGAAAATCAACATCTCACTTATGACCCCACAATACAAACCCCCGATACATTAAGTGTGGAACAGCTACTAAGCAATCATGACAAAATTTTCTGAAATAACAGTTCTCTTGCTAGCATACAATATGCACATTGTAGGCTATTTTTCAAATAGATCTCACCCACTTTTACTGAAATAACTTGTGCTTCAGCAGTCAGAGTTCCTGTAATTGAGTACCACAACTACTTTAAAGATAGGTCTATAAAGTATCATCATTATGATGTTGTTTAAATAATACATCAACTGTTCAGGAAGTCCAATATTTTAGCCTCAATTCTTACCAGTTCTCTACACTCTGAAGTCTGATTAGTTCATGCTTTCTATGCAGGCAGTGCCAGAAAATCACTTGCAGATAAACTTGTCTGAAAGCTCCAGTAATAACAATGCAAGCCAATCCTTTTCCTGCAGGAAATGCTACTGATAAACCTTTTACAGGGTATATTTTTGATTTAGTTCAGTTCTGATGCCAAATTTTGCCAGCTCTGTTGCTGGACACGAAATTCCACCAATATTTTTCAAAACACCTTAAAGTAAGCCTCCATTACCGCCTGCAACAGAACACAGTCATACCAAGAGGAGGCAGCATGGCAGTTTCTTGAGAGTTAGCTTGATCTGCTAAACAGCAAGATAAATCAGCCCATAGGATCACAGAATCAGAGAATCAGCTACACTGAAAACCTGAAATTAAAATGGTAAAAACAGACCCTTGAAAAAAAGGTCAGGCTGTGTGATGCACAGAGGCTCCAGATCCTCACTCCTTGCCAACGCTCTGATCTGAGGTGGTTTGTTTTGTTTTTTGGTTTTTTTCTGTGTCAGAAATTTCAGTGGGAAAACAGAAAAGGCAACTTCGGGAAAGGCAGTCAGCACGAAACGGCCTAAGTTTTGTGGACAACCCCTTTGAACCTGCTCTGGCACTTGCAGCAACGAATGTGGGTTTCTTCTCCCTTTCAACACCAAACCTTGGGTCTCCATCTCCTTTACGTTTTTGATCATAAACAGAGTTAAAAGAAGAGCAGTCACAGCATATGGTGGGGGGGAGGGATCACACCCACGATCTTAGAAGTAGCAGGTGTTTGTAAAATTTAAGTGTTATTAGTGCCTTTGTACAAGTCACCTCACTGTTCCGACTTTGAACACAGGGTCTGAGCTCTGCTCACAGCAGCACCTCGGCACATAAACACGGTACCTACAGACCCGGCGCAGATGATGTGGTTGGACTCATTCTGAGGGACGGCCTTTGTCCTGGCCAAAAAGAACAGGCGGGGAACGGAGCGGGG